AAATAAGATAAATAAAATTTATAAATAGAAATAAAGTAACCTTTATTGAGTTTCAAAAAACCTGAAACACAAACCAGAAACAGCTTCAGAATGAGGATGTTCTCGTGATGGTTCCTCTTCTTTACCTAATCCTAGGGCCTCAGAATCCACAGCTGTCTTAGCTTAGAAAGTTCTTCCCTTAGATATTAACATGGTCCTCACTGCCCTCACATTTGTGCTCAAGAGAATGGGACTTTTCTGAGCAGTTATGTGAAGATGTAGGGTTTCCAGGCTGCAACATCTTCCCAGAGACCCCCAAGAGTGGAGGAGGCTTTTCTTAATTCTACCATTTTCTGTCTATATAAGGGTGACCCAAGGTCCACCTGAGACCCAGTGGCATTCTCAGTTTATTTTTCTTGGTATCATGTTTTACCACCAGACAAATGATATGTCACTTTTTGTTGTGTCTGCTCCTTTACAGCCCCTCTACTAATATCAAAGTTTCATAGACACAGAGGCTTGCACTTTTAAAACGGCATCCACAGAGCTCAGAAACAGCACTTGTGGTAGCTACGAATAATCCCGGTGGTTCATAGTCATGTCTATCTTGTAGTCTCTCTTGCATTGAGTCAGGATAGTCACTGTGGCCAGTAGTATACAGAAGAAATGGTGGTGTAGTACTTTCTACATTAGGTTGTAAAAGACACTGAAAATTCTGAGTATTGAGTTCTTTCATTCTAGGAGAAATCACCTGCCACGGTAGGAGAACACTCAAGCTGCCTAACAGAAAGGAGTTATGTGGACAGAAACAAAACAGCACTCACTTTGCCACCTAGCAATTGTCAGTCTTCGAGTATCTCAGCTGAGGCCTCAAACATCATAGAACAGAGACAAATCTTTCTTTCATGATCCGATCCATGAGAGATTGGAAATGATGAAGTAATATGCTATGTAGCAAAAAATAATGTAACACATAGTCCATAGTTAAAATTTTCCTGAATATAACTGACTAAAAAATGAATATCAACAGATTTCTTCCTAGATTACTTAGTGATCAAATATAAGTTTTAAAGTTAACCTAAACATTATGGTTTAAAACGCCACTTGAGCAACAGAAACATTGGTTTTCAAATTTCAAGAGCTAGCTAGGTTTGAGTGTTAGTCTACTGCTTATTTGCCATCTGATCTTGTAGATGTCAGAGGGCAACGGGTTCTTGATTTTGTCATCTGAAAAAAATGGCAAAATTTTGCTTGTTGATTTTCCTGATCTGTACACTAGAAATAATGGTAATAATTACAAGCGTAGTACTGGTAATGGCACGTGCCTGGCACAGTCTTATTTATATTAAAAACTTTTGGGCCAGGCTTTTGCTGAAACCCATTCTACAACTGGAATTTTCCACTTTATGAGCCAATGCATTTTATTTACTATTTAAGTCACTCCCAGTTGTTGGCTCTACCTACAACCAAAAGCATCTTTATATAAAACATTAAGACTAACACATTTGAAACAATGGCAAACTAAACAGAGTGAGATGTTGTGAGGAAAGTTCTGCATAGTAATTTAAACACAACAGATAAGAAGAAAGGCACGCCAAACAACCTTATCACCCATGTCTGTGGGTTGACAGCAATGACATCCTATTTCATTGCTAGGAAAGACAGAGACTTGAGGCATGCAGTTTTCACAGAAATTCTGTTTCTGAGAATGCATTTTGGCTTTTGATATTTTCCCTAAGGTTACATTTGATAGTTGCAGCTCAGAGCACCAAATTTATGCTAAACACCACAGTAAGCCAAAGGGCCATGTGTGTTCCAAAGGCGGTACTACAGTGGAAAGACTGTGTTGTACGCAGACATCAGGAAAATCGGAAGCCTGCTGCCTCGGCTATAGGTCTGTAGAGAGTATGAGAGGGTCTCCTGGGCCATTCATCACAGCCTCACCTTGTCAGAGAGCTCCTCGTGCCATTTCAAGAGCAGAGGACATTGTCCTGGGCATGTCATGAAACACTAATAAAAAAACTCATCTTACAGGATGGAGAGTTCTCATTTTTAAGAACTGGGAAGATAGGAATATCTGACAGGCCTGACTACATGAAACAGAACATTGCCACTGGGTAATGTGACCTGCGGGGTAAAGATAGATGGTGACTGAAAGCTGTGGTTTAGCTAATAAAGGCAGGCTTCAGGTCTGTTTTATTAGCATTGGTCACATTACTTCTTATATGTTACAATGACTTTGATGGGAGATTTCATTAAAGACTTGTTTTAGAAGTGTGGATAATCTCTCAGTTCTATATTCTGCTGCTTAGATATATCAGTTAATAAATGAATTTTATCAGAATAATAGAGCTAACTTTAATTTTATGTATTCATGGAAATTTACTTTGTTTTTCTCAAACTTTTCTGAGAAGTTTAATTCCACTTATTTTTATAGTTTTGTTTAGTTCCATTTATTTTATAGTCGTTCAGAAAGACAACAACTGTGAATATCAGACACACAAATGAGGAATTGGGAGGGTTTATTTTTTTGTTTTGGGACAGGGTCTCACTGTGTAGTTCAGGCTGCTCTTGAGCTCACTATGTCACCCTTGAACATGTGACGATCCTTCTGTCTGAGCCTTCCAAGTGCTGAGATTACAGACATGCACCACTGCATCTGGATAATATTAGTATCTTGAGTATTGCTTCCCTCTAGATCTTTTATTCCTGGAAGCCCTCGAGAAGAAAAGTCGGAATTCTCAAAGAATTTTATCTGATTATTTCCTAGAGACTGCTAAATATTTGGATTAGACTAAACACACCCAATGAAAGCAAAATAAAACTGTGTTCCCCTTGCCTTTAACAAGATGGGGTTAGTTTAAAGGGTGATTGGATATAAATAAACTATACAATTTTTGCATGGAATTCAATGAATGTGTAACTTTGTGACAAACTCGAGCAGACAGGAGACAGAAAGGGTCCAGGGACTTCCATCCCTGGGTGGAAATTCATTCCATGCTGAGTTTTACTTAAGCAACTAGTATGATTGTTTTCACTTCCTATTTCATCAGTGTCCTGAAAGTGTTAAGACAAGTACTCAGTAGGCATTTTTGCATGGAAGAAATTACAACTTTAGGTAGACTTGTAAACTGCTCCCTAAGAATCTCAGTCCAATTTCACAAAAGCACTATGTCGTAGAACAGTCTTTTGGGGACAAAACCCTATTTGAGGAAGCATTTGCATGTATGTTGCTATTGTTATTACTATTTTTAAAATCTGGAAAACTTAATTTTAAAGTGAGCAAAAATTTTCAACAGTAAAAATTAAAACGAAAGTAAAAAATAATCAAAAACTAGTTTATGTTATTAGAATGGCTGTCACTGGGAGGTGGGTGAGTTTTTTGATTGGAACAGGACATAAAGGGGACTTCAAATGAGCTTGAGCCATTCTGTGGTTTATCTTGTATTTTGGTCACAGTCCTTATGATTTGTTGGTTTCTTGTATTTATGTTTACACATTTATTTAATAAGTTAAAAAATATGTTGTGATTTGCATCCATATCTGCATACTTAAATTCTAATAATCAAATAATAATGTCATTTTAGAGTTTTAAAAATGAATATTGCTAATTTATCTGCAGAAAATCTGTATCAGTTTTGGCTCCCATCCACAATATACAAAATATAATTTATTTGTTTAGGTGTTAGTACTAGTTATCATTTTTCTACTTTTAATGACTATAAGTAAAAACTAAAGTTTTCTTTCTAGCTTTTTATTTTGAAAAATTTCAAACTTCCGGAAAAGCTGAAAGAATGATATAATAGACAACCACACATATTCATTAGATTTACCAGCTGTTAACTTTTTCTTTTCTTTCTTTCTTTCTTTCTTTCTTTCTTTTTTCTTTTTTTTTTCTGGTACCAGGAATTGAACTCAGGACATGTAAGGCAGGCACAGCATCACTGAGCTAAATCCCTGGTCCAACTTTTTTCACACTCTCTTTCTCTGTCTCTAGTCATACACACACATGCATTCATACTACACACCAACATCCACCCATCTACCTACCTATTGAATATGTGAACTCTTTTTAAAAAGCTTGAGGGGCTGGGAGTTTATTCAGTAGTAAAGTGCATTCTATTCAAGATCCTGAGTTTGAACCTTACAACTATAAAAAAAGTTTCAGATATTATAATTTGTCCCTTACTATATCACTTAATACGAAGAATATTTTTGTACATAACCACAATGCATTTTATTATTAAAAATAAATAATTCCATATTATTATCTGGTACTATAAGAACTATCCCATGTTTATGTTTCCAAATTGTCTCAATATAATATTTTCTAACTGGTTTGGAAAAATATAATGCTTAATAAAATTCATTTACTTTTTGCATTTAGTTGTTTCTTCTTGTTATACTTTTTTTCCCTAAAACCCCTCGTCCACTGTCCCACCCTCCTTTTTTATGGCATTAAACAAATTCAAGCCTCAGAACACTATTTAAGTTCTAATATATATAATCTGGCTTGCTGTCACTGGCTTACATTACCAAAGTTATTACAGGTTTTCAGAAGCATATACATCAACAACTGAAACAAATTTTCATTTTTGGCTATTGGCTAGTCAGAGCAAGACACCAAGTCTTCAGCTAGGCACCAGAGGGTTTTAGTGAGAAAAAAAAACAAACAAAAAAAACTTAAGCGCTTTTAAATCTTATATTATTACTTTTATCATATAAGAAGTAAAAATGACATTTCACGCTTGGAAACGTATTGTGAGAGCTTCCCTTCCTGTCCCTACTCCGTATTGCTGAATGAATCAGCTAATATACAATCCGTTTCAGGGACGTGAAAGGGCAGTGACAGCCAAGAAGGATATTTTGAAGTTTGAAATGATCCCTATATAAATAGAACGGATCAGCATAACTTTGGGATAAAATTAGCCAACAGTTTACGGACTCTCTAGCAGGCGCCTGTTTGCTTGGTGCTGCTCTCCTGAGCAATCACAACACAGCTTCTCCAGAGGGACAGGAGGATGGACGACGCCACCGCCCCTGCCACTAAATCTGGAGCTGCCAAGTTAGCTAAGAAAAACTTCCTTGAAGCTTTAAAGTCAAATGATTTTGGAAAATTGAAGGCTATTTTAATCAAAAGGCAAATAGATGTGGATACAGTTTTTGAAGTTGAAGATGAGAACATGGTTTTGGCATCTTACAAACAAGGTAAAAAATATAGGTGTGACTGTAAAATTGATAGGAAATAGATTTTTTAAAAAATACAAAGCATGAGTTACTACTCTAAACCAGTAGGTTTTATTGTTTAAGTATTTATTTAAAACATATTTTTACTTTTATCTTTTCATTCTTTTTAAACTACAGTGCTTATAGGCTGATATCATATACTTATGCCACATATATTATATATAAAAGTATATAGAGTATGCATAAACACATATAATGCATATATTTCTTTTCTTTTCTTTTCCACCTTGTGCTTAGAATGTGAAGTTCTGAACCATCATATTTAGTAACGCATTATGTGTTTCTAATTTTTCTTCTGACTGCGATTGACACAAATTAATAAAATATTTTTAGATGGTGGTTGAAACAGACCATTGAGACCTAATCTAGACAATGTGGCTGGCTTGGCAAGGCTGATAATTCTCTTTTAACAGCACTTAAAGATACATCATCTCTGTGTCCATGTGAACGAAAAAGATTTTCTCCTCCATTTGAGGGTTAATTAATGGAGGAAACTGTGTCACAGGCACCTTGATGATCTTCATCATTTTAATGAGTTTTAGTTCAGGCACAAAAGCTAAATTCAGAAAAACCAAAAAGCTAACTTTCTTTTCTGAACTCCAATATAGTTCAAGATTGCAGAAGTGTTTGATGCAGAATATCTGCTTTACACAAAACTAAAGAAAACAAAAATTAAGACCAATTTTTTTTTATCAGGGAATTTTCTGGAATCCATGCTTAATAAATGAGAAATAAATTAGCATGCTGATTCTAACTTCCCAAATCAGCTAGTTAATGAGGGAACTTGAGTAGTTAGGCCATCTGGTGAGCAGACTGCAAATAAACACCCTACTTAACATCACTTCTGTTTAAATAAAATAGATGAGAAGGTTTTGGGTGTAGTATTTAGTGATAGAGTGTATGCAATTATTATTCATGTATGCAGATGTTTTCTGTTCATATATAAATCACAAGTGCCATTAATTTCCAGACAAAATGCTAATGGTATACATTTCTGTGGTCTCTGATAATCAGTTCTGAAGGAAGTAAATAGAATAGTTAAGGCCAGTTGCTGTGCTTAGGATTTGTATTTACAAGCTTCATGATAAATTGGCATGGTTATTTTGACTGAAAGATAAAGGAAGTAACTAGTTTTTAAAAAATTTGATGGAGATTCTGTTCAAAAGAAAAAGTTATATACTATGTAATTAAGTTGCATAAATTCTTTCTTATAAATTTATTTAGTGAAATAATTTGTTTAGTTAACAACTAGTTAGGAAGTCCTGAGTGCTAAATATATTTTAAAGGTACATTGAAAAACCTATATAATAACTCAGGGCCTAGGTGATGGGTAACTTATTTGATACTGAATCTGGAAGACTATCTTTTCTCATTTTCTCAGTAGCCAAATTACCAGGGACACATGAAAATTCTGAGGTTATAAGAAAGGAACCTTGAGGTGCAGGCTCTCAGGAAGTCCCCCCCCCCCGCCCCGCTGCTGCTGCTTATAATGGTGTCATCACCTGTGAATGAGAAGAAACTGTTTTAAATTCTTATCAGTGCAAGTCAACTCCTGTGGTCCTGGTAGAGCCACATCTTCATTCACTCTAATGAGTGTTTTCATAGTGTTAGGACTATGGGCTGTGGCTTTCAGTCAGGAGATAGCAGATTACAGAACCCAAGAAAGGAAAGAAACAATTCCAGTGTTCTGTATGCTAGGTGGTTGTCTACACAGAAATACTAGGACTGGGGACTATACCTTCAGGGTTCATGCAGGAAATTGTTGGCTCGTCTATATGAATAAGTGTGTAGAAACACAATCCATTTAACATGAGTGTAAAATTCTGTCTCTTTAGTTTTAAACACAGGTTAAAACTTCATCTTTCTTTGTAGTTACCTCAGGGTTTGCTTTTTTTTTTCCCACATACTTCTAATCTAATCATCAATTCTTTCAATACTGAGGTTAGGAATAAATAGGATCCTAGTTGCTGGGTAAGTAACAGAGACTAAGAGGTTTTATCAATTTCTCAACTTACAAAGGAGTGCTTTAGGAACAGTGCACAGCTGAAGGCCTGGGACTGGCTTGTTAGTTCCTGAGTTCTTTTTCAAATGGTTCTAAAGAATAGGAGCTATTTCTGTGTGGCCTTGAAGGCTATCTGGCTGGATTAAAGCCTTTGAGAATTTATTAGCTAAAAGCAGAATTTTTAGCCATTGAAAACTGTTGAACTGCTATGTGTTACTCTTTGATTCTTTTAAAGCATACTTGAAAAGCTGTAGGCAGAAAAGTACACAAATTGTAAGCATGAATCCTAATTAAATTTTACAAAATAATCCTAGGTAACTAGCGTCCAGATTGGGAAACAGAATATTTTTGTTTACTTTAAAAGGGTAGGCTTCTTCACCTTTAGTTACTTGCAGCTTAAGGAACTACCTATAAATGTAAAATCTACAACAGATATGCTACTTTAAATTTTCTTACATAATTGATGATGCTGTACTCAATAATTGATTATCCTGAGAAAGATGAACAGATCAATTTTGAACCATTTTTATTTCTTTTAAAACATACTATAATATTTTTCATGGCATTGCAAAATGTAGTTCAATTTTAATTTTAAATACAGCACATTCGAGCCAATATGAAAGTCATTATGTGATTTTTGGAATGCTAACTCAGAACTCTGCTGGTTCAAAAATCAATTTAGTATCTCAATATTAGTTCCCCAAATCTGCAACCTAATAAGTGCACCATAATCAAAAGTTGACTATAATCTAAACAAATATAGGTTTAGTGAGTTTCAGAGAAGAAAGCTATTGGTCACAAAGAAGTCTGGAAACACATCTCTGCTTCTTTCAGTAGCTCTGGGTCCCTCTCCAAACAGCCTATCAGAGGACAGATCTGGAAGTCCATCTCCAGAACATGTGTCCAAACTGTGGGTCCTTGTTTCCCCAGAACTTGATAGTAATTTCTTATAGTTGGAGACACATCTGGTTGTTTTTTCAAGTTACTTTAAGTGTAGTAATAAAGTCTTCAACTGGTTTCAGTGGCACGTTTGTAGTCTCAGCACTCAGGGAGGACCCCAAAATTCAAGGATCCCAAGTTCACAACAAGCCTGGTCAATTTAGCAATGTAGTAAGACCCTATTTCAAAATAAAAATTTGAAAAAGGGCTGGGGACATAGTTTGCCTAGCATGTAGTAGGTTCTGGGCTCAATTCCAGTCCCACAAAAGCAGACAAATAAAAACCTAATGCAAAAGTCTTCAGATAAATCTGTGTTTTATTTAAATAACAGCATATTTTCTAAAACAAACAATATAATGTGCTGTCTGGTATTTGAGAGACCTCCCAGGGAATGGCAGAGATATGGGTCTTAAAAACAAGTAAGCATGGTCTGGGGATTTAGCTCAGCGGTTTGGTGGCCTGCTTCACAAGTGCAAAGACCTGAGTTCAATCCCTGGTACCAAAAAAAAAAAAAAAAAAAAAAAAAAAAAAAGCAAGTAAGCAGAATAGCATTTACCAGATAATCACTTAAAAAATAATGACATAAAGAAAACGTCAATACATGAGGGAATTTTTAAATACTGGATGCAATAAATAGTTGAATAGTTAAAGAATGTCATGATATAAAGTTTATTCTGAGCCAAGCAGATAGCATCCAGAGTGAAAGCAAACCCAAAAGAAATCTTCGTGAAAACACAAAAGCCCTTCATGTTGGTCCCTGGTGCTGACCTGCGGGGAAAATGAACGAATGTCCTGAAAGCTCTTTCCAAAGCTCTGCCCAACTACACATTTTGATTCTCCTTCAGATATATGTGTCTTGGCTCATTAGTGATATGGGCAGAATTCCAAACTTATCTCTTTGGTATGAAATTTTCTAGTTAGCAAGGTAATCCGAGTCCTTTTATAAATCAGTGTAATGGACTTTTAAATACTTCATTTATGGGCCACAGCCTCTGGTTCTTTGATCGGTAGTCATATTTTTAATTAAAATAACCAATGAGTGATTTCACCTGAAAACTTTCTGGCAGGTACTTTATCTACTTTACTGTGTAGCAACCACTTTCCAAATACCATGAAAGTTCTTATTTCTAGTCTCTTAATCAATAATCTCTGTATCACCCAATTTTTTTTGTTTCTAAAAATCAACTCTCCCGCCTCCTGTTACTATCTACAGTTCTTTTTCCATCTTTGATGCTCAAACTTTTTCCTTTAAAACTTTTCATTCTCAGCTTGCTTCCTCCTATCCTCCCAAGAGAAGCTCAAAGAATTATCCTGAAATTATTAGCTATTAAAAAATAGCCAAAAATTGTACTTCCGTCTATAATCCTTCAGGACTGTATAAATAAGAGCAAATGTCTGCTAATCCGACCATGAGCTGCGTGTGTAACCTTTGGCTCACAGAAGCTTCTGTGTGGGGCTGGGGTGACTCAGATAACATCCTGGTTGATAACTGTTATAGAGATTGGCTTAGCTGAAGTTTCCCCAGAGATGTTTACATTGTCCCCAAACGCTAGAGAAAAAAACAATCCTTTCTCCCATGTGGCCAAAACACTGCTTCTTACCGTATTTCCTGAGCTCTCTGCCCAGCTACACAGGCATAATTCTTGAGTTTGGAGTTTAAATTAAACATGCATATGCATACACACAGGAGAATAACCTGCATGTTTTTTGCAAAGGTAAAACTTCTAAATTTCCTTCAGGACTTTTAGATGCAAGTGATACTGGTTTGGAGGTGAAGTGCATGTAGCTTCAGATCAGAAATTAGTAGGTAAAGATTTTTGGGAGACAGAGTTTGAGAGTTTGACCTCAATAGTACTAATCTATATGAAGGTGGGCACTTTCTACTACCTAACCCCTAGCAGAGTTGTTTTCATTTATAAAACCAGGGCTTTGCTAAGACCCTCTCTAAAGTGATCTGTGATGTCATGTGGGTGAAATTATATAACAGATTGTGCACCAGGCTCTTGGAAAGGTAAAAGCTGAGCCTATGTTTGGAAGTTCTCCCAGGTCTTGTGCAAAGGGGGAAGCATCATCTTTCTCTCTCCGCTTTTTCGGTGGAGCCCTTTGCTGACACCAAACTCTTGCCAAAGGAGCCATCGCTCTAAGCAGACTGCAGCCTTCAGGTAGAGAGTGCGTGCTTCCCGCCGGCGGGGTGGAAGCCTCACTTTCTTACCCAGCCCCCAAGGGCATTGTCTCCTGCTGCCTCCCACCCCTGTCCTTTTTTGCAGTCTGAGCTCACAGGAAAAGGGCAGGCTGGCATCTGCGGAGGTGAACAGAGGGGAACCTTGGAAACACGAACACTAAGAATAAACCACATTCTAGGCTTGGAATCTCTGGGAAAATCCTGCAGAGTGCAGGGAGAGGCAAACAAATGAATCTGGCCGATCATTTTATGGTACTTCTAGCATACGGTGAGCAAAAGTGATTAGAGTCGTGGGGACAGATTCCGATCTCTTCGCATAGCAGCATCCACACAGGCATGTTCATAGGCGCGGACGTATCTATGGCGTTTGAAGATCACGTTACTTGGGGTTCGGTCCTCGATGAGGGTGAGTGCACCTCTCTCCACTCTTGTTGCACAGTGGCCCAGGTCCCTGACCCCATTTTAAGGTGGTGATTATATTGGGGGGCCCTTTGCTGTGAAGTGCTCTTTTCTCTGTTCAATGCAGCAGCCTTTTCAGTTCGGCTCGGGGCTAAATTGTTCAGAAGCCTCTGGCCCCAGGCTCACACCGCAGGTCTACAGCAGAGCTTTAAGATGAACACCGGCATGCCCCCTGCCAGGCCGTGCCCTTATTTTCCTGTCACCTCCCCTGGGCAGCAGCTAAGGTATCTTGTTCTCCCGCAGTAACACTCTTCCCATCTAGCAGAGGTGAGTTGTAGGCACAATTCCATTCTGGGTGTTGGCTCCATTCCAAGCCCTCCTGAACTGTGAGCCTGATTTACCAGTTAATGGTTATGATTATGGAAGATGCGGATGAAACTGACTGGAGAAGCCAAGGATGACTGATTCATGCAATAAACAGACAAGATAAATTCTCTAGGTGCTGCTGGGAACTCAGGAGGAAGAAAAAAGAATCAACAAGCAAACACATTTCCATATCAGAGATGTGACATATTACAGATGAATTCAGAATCTTCTTCCTTTCTTTGCAATTTGTAAAGCAGGCTTGGAGCTAAACCTATTCTGCCTTCACAAAGACAAAGACAGATGGAAATTCTGCGTTGAAGATATTCCAAGTTCATAAGCTTGGACCGAGGCAGGTGACTTAGGGCTCTAGCAGGCTGAAAAAGTGGCAGTTTTCTCATCTGGAAAATGAAAGGCTTGGAATGCATAATTCTATCTCCAGTGTGGACATTCTGCGCTTCTCTGATTTTACATCAAAATGGTGTTTTCTTAATCAGCTCTCTACTGCTTCTTTTGGGAGATCATTTTTCTTCCGATTGCAGAAGCAGGCATGAGTTTCCAATGAGTTGCAGCACAGAGCTGCCTGATCTTTGAGGCTAACCAGCAGGCAAAATACACCCTGGTTTTCAGATTGGGAACCAGCTTTTTTCCAAGACAGAAATTGTTGGGGAAATTTGAGTATTAAAACAACCACGTATTGATATTGATAAGTTTCATTCATATTAATGACTCAAAAGCACGCTGCATATCATTTAGCTTAAGAATTCTGCTTGAAGCACTTATTCAATGTACAGAACTAAATGAGAATGCATGAACCAGTGTGTGTATATCCACACCCTTATGTTGTGTGTGGATATAGAAGCGCATGGTTACCACTTCCTCATTTAAAGCTGTCTGTGGTGCTATAGAGTCACAGGCACATGGCTCTGCTGGGAAAAACCCTTATCATCAAAGAGCATCCTTCTCAGAGTCTGAAATCACCTATCAGTATCTTAGAACTTCATTCTAATGGCTGAACACAGATTCCTAGATACATTCAAATAATTCTGAGAGGGAGCACACTTTAAACAATCCTCAATCCATTAAGCCTTAGTGCAAAATAAGTGAACTTCTTTTGAAAGAGCAGATTTGGGTAAGGGCAGATGTGGGAGTGAAAGAAAACAAAATGCCCTTAGCATTCTGAAGGGGATTAAAAAAGGATTTTGTGAGTGTGTGTGTGTGTGTGTGTGTGTGTGTGTGTGTGTAGGTGGGTGAGACGGTGGGACACAGAGAGATGAACTTTGAGTTTCATTGATTTGTTCCTGTGAGGTTAATCAGCATTGTGTATTACCCTGTAAATGGCTTCTTTAAGTTAAATTCTTTTTCCCCCCTTTGGACAAAGGATGATATTTTAATTTTACAAATTTTAAAAAGTTTTAGTACATGTATCAGATACTAAATTTATAACTTACAAAGGGGACATTCAGGAACAAGTACACTTATCTATGTCCTTATCCCCTAGTTCTTGATCTTTCTGGGAGGCCACCACTATAAACAGTTTCTTAGGGGCCAGGGATTTAGCTCAGTAGCACTGTGCCTGCCTCGAAAGCTTGAGGTCCTGAGCTCGAGCCCTGGTACCGTAAAAAATGAGTGTAAATAGTTTCTTGTTCGGGGTATTTAAAAATTTAAAAATTGATTTGCACATGATGACATAGTGTAATATACATTGACATCTATTGATTTCAGTATATATACAACTGTCTGATTCTTTTATTGGCTGTATAGTATTCAGTTGAATGAATGTACTATATGATCGAGTTAATGTTTCTTGTTAATGAACAGAAAGGCTGTGTTCAATCATCTAACCATTAGCGATAGTGTAGTAGTCTACACATAGTGCTATATATAGGCCAGGTTACCAGGGTCCATAATTACCAGAATTATCTTTCATAGAGTACAATGCAAACAGTGCTCCTTGGACTTGTATAGGACAGTGGTCCTGTAAGGTATTTCGCACATGAATGATTTTTCTTGTAGGGGAGATACCCAGGAGTGATAAATATGTATTATTTTTCATTTAATTGAGTGAACTTCAGTACCTGATGAACAAGCTCACCTTTAGCATATGGACATCATCATCCTTAGAATGCCTGTGGTCGCTCATCATTTCTTGTAAACTGTGGTGCTTAGGAATAATTATAATATTTTACATTTATTCTGATCTCATGTAATTAATGAAGAATGCAACATTTGCTTCTGTTTTTCTGGGCATCACATTCTGATTAATGTGTTTTAAGATTACATAATTTTTTAGGCAGCTCCATTCCACTGTTTTTGAAACTATTGTCAACTCAAAGCTCTAGATTTTTCCTCAAATAAATGACCACTAAACTATATTCTGATTACCTTTTATCTGTGAGACTTTTATGGCCTAAGAATTAAAATGGAACACAAATTATAAGCCTGTAAATTAACAGTTTGGGCTCATTCAAGACAAATTCTCAATGATTGGAGTTTAAAATTTTTTTGAAGAATATCATAAAATTTATCATAAAAATAATATGCAACCACAGAAATGGAGGCCTCAAACTAAAATCCCCTTGTGACCCAAGAAGGTAAAGTACATGAAGGAAAAAGATAGTATGACTAATAGAGACAGAAAGAACTTGAAGAAGATCAGGGCATACATGCCTGTAATTCAGCCACTTGGGAGGCTGAGGCAGGAGGATCTTAGGAACCCAAGGGACTTAGCATGACCTTACCTCAAAAAAAAAAAAAAAAAAAAAAAAAAAATAAAAAAAAAGGCCAGGGATTTAGCTCAGTGGTTCTATTGCCTGCCTTGCAAGCACAAGGACCTGAGTTTGATCCCTCTTACAAAAAAAAAAAAAATGGAGCTCAGTGTATGGGCTTATGGGCTTCTTTAGCATGGCTTTAATCCCCAGGAACATGAAACGCAAGAAAGAAAAACTGATAGGAGGAAAGAAGTGAGAAAAGAAGGAAGGGAGGAAAAAGAAAGAGGGGGAGACAAAGAAAAAGAGAGAGAAAAGAAGATACAAAGCAAGAAAGTCAGGAAGAATCTCAGCCCAACTCACTTAAATATATCTGAATGTTATTGAGCAAAGCACTGGAAAATCCAGCAACTACTGATCTATAACCTATGGATCAATTTTTCTTCAGTTTGTAAAAATTCTCACAAAACAAGGAGAAATTCTCAATCAAAAAATAGGACAGTGTGAGCTTCCTTTCTTTTTCTCCCCCTAGGTTATTGGCTGCCTAGTTATAAACTAAAGTCTTCCTGGGCCACGGGCCTGCATCTGTCTGTCTTGTTTGGTCACGTGGAATGCCTTTTGGTGCTACTGGACCACAATGCCACAATCAACTGCAGACCCAACGGGAAGACCCCTCTTCACGTGGCGTGTGAAGTGGCCAACGTGGACTGCGTGAAGATCCTCTGCGACCGTGGAGCCAAGCTCAACTGCTACTCCCTCAGTGGACACACAGCCTTGCACTTCTGCACCACGCCGAGCTCCGTTCTCTGCGCTAAGCACTTGGTGTGGCAAGGTGAGCGCTGGGCGTCTGTCCGCGTCATCGCCACACTCGGGTTCTGAGCCTTGGTGACCCCTCCTGACTCAGGCTGTCTGGCAGGTGTTCTCATGCCTTCAGCATAGGTCAGGGGCCCTAAGATACACAAACACGCCCTGAGTTCTTCTGGCAGGGCTCATTCTGTGATGATTACACTGCGATCTTAAAGTTTTGACTCCATAGGAAATGCACTGATCTGCTCACTTACTGAAGGAGCATTTATTCAGCTCCTGCTACGCATCAGGTAATGCGGCGGGTGAAAAAGAGAAGACAGTCTCTTCTCTCAAAGAACGTATAGTCCACTAGGGGATATAAATATTAATAAAATTAATAAACACTGTACATGATTCAAAGTGGGGGGAAGTGTGGTGAAAGAGAAACAAGGAGCCGTGAAAGGAAAAGTCACGAATGAACTGCGATACAGTGTGTGAGGATTTCTCTAAGGACGCGATGTGTAAGCTGAGACCTTAAGGATAAGAAAGAGCCAGGCCGTAAAAACGGAGCTACGCGCAGAGGAGTGGAGACCTAGGGACTAGCAGGACCCGACCTGGGTATTTGCTGGGAGGGCTAAAGACTGGGATTTTTAAACGAATGCCTGAGTATGGTAGGGCTGGAGGGACAAGAGGACAGACAGCAGAGGGGAGAGCGTCAGGATGACATCGGATACGGTAGGTAACGGGGCCTTCCGGAGGCTAAGGTTCAGGGCCCCGAGATGCAGACACTGAGGGGTTTGAAGCAAGGCATGGTGTGACTTAATGTTGTGACTGTCGTTCTGGAGTTGTGCAGAGAATGGGTCCGAGAGGCAAGAACGCAGAGACGTAGGCCACTGGGGAAACAAGCGGCTGGGGCCTGAGCAGGGGTGGTGGCTTGCACCGGGGCAGGCCTCAGTAAGAAGGTGGGGACTGGCTGGCTTCGCACTGTATTTTGGAAGCGGCACTGAGGGATTTAGGTATGGAGTAAACGTAGGTTGGGGCAGAGGAAAAGGAAATCCTAGAGTCTCTGATTTCAGAAAATGGGCAGACAGCAATGCTACC